TAGGACGTGCACTGACCACCAGGAGGCAAACACTCCGACCAGTAGGTTAGCTTGCTGCTGGGGTCCAACTGATCAGGACTGAGTGAGATGAGCTGGACACACCCTGGGACCTACCCGAAGTCCCTCCCTGGCTGGCCAACCTCCCACATCCCGCCCTGGACCCAGTCGTGCACCAGTGGGGTCCCTTGGCCTGTCTTGCACTTTCTCACAATTCAGGACCCTTTGGAGGATGTCGGAGACCCAGTTTCAGCCTGATCCTGCAGGCCAGGCCAAGGGACCCCACTGGTGCATGAATTCATACACTAGGCCTCTAGTGCTGCTATAAACATCATGTGTAGGTTTTTGTGTATATACTAGAGGCCTGATGCACAAAATTCTTGCACTTTGGGCGGGGGGGGGATCTCTCAGCCCAGCCTGCATCCTCTGGCAGTCCAGGATCCCTTGGGGGATATCCACCTGCCGGCTTAGGCCCCCTCTCCCTGGGATTGGGCCTAAGTTGGCAGTCAGACATCCCTCTGGCAGCCTGGGAGCCCTCAGGGGATGTCCACTTGCCAGCAGGGATGCGGCACCCTGACCCTGCGGCACCCTGACCCTGCGGCACCCTGAGCTGTGCAGGGCAAACAGCCTTGTCTCTGCCTCGACCCGTCAAGGCTGCCCCGTTCTTGCTGAAGAGCCAACTGTCACCATCGCGCAGGCTCACTGTCCTGCGTCCCCCTCACGCCTGTGCTCAGCACGCTCTGGCCTCCGCTCCTTGAGCACCTGTCCCCTCGGGGCACTGGGCCTTTGCAGAGGCTGCTCCCCCAGCCCTGGGTAAGCTTCCCCACCCCAGCTGCCTCCCGCAGCCTGCAGCTCCTGCCAGCGCCTTTGTTAACGTTATAATGACATCATGTTTGCTTTCTCTCTGCAAGTACTTCAGGGAGATGGCTGACTAATTTCTGGGCTCTCCCTCCACACCGGCCATGAGCCCCTGAGAGCATGAGCCGGTCTGCTTTGCTCCTGTGTCCCAGCACTGCAGTGACCAGCCCTCCCCCCTGAAAAACATCTGAGGGGAGACAAGCGGCCCTTGTTCAGCTGAGTTGGGCTTGAGCCGTGTGTACGAAACGCCTGCTACATGCCTGAAACTGCCCAGTGCTCACCATTCGTGACCTTCCTCAGCCCTGTGGGCGCGTCACAGGGAGGGCCGTGTCGGGTGCCAGGCAGGTGCCAGGCCCTCCAGGGAAGACCACACAAAGTGACCTCCGATGCCTTGCATCTGACCACCCCGCCCAGGGCCTCGGACAGGCCGCACAGCCGCCAGCGCACTCCATGCCCAACAGAGGGCCGCACAGGGCACAGGAGCGGGGCCCCCGGCACTAGAGTCCTCTGTAGTAATGAATGCAAGGTGCGCACAGTGTCTGTGAGGGCCCATTCTGAGGGTGTCCCTCTGATCGCAGTGCTGCCCCAGGGAGGCTGGTCGGGGGCCAGCCAGCACCCCCCAGGCCCCAGCTGCTCCTCCACAGCTCAGAGAGGGGGTGCTGTGGTGAACTGGGTAAGAGCAGAGCCTGTCTTTTGCGGGAAAAGAGTGGAAGCACCAGTTCTGTTCGTCAGTAGAACCAGACATGGCTGTCTAGAAGCTGCAGTCTGATCCTCACCCGGACTCCCCACGCCTCGGCTGGTCTGTGTGTCCTCGTCGGGACAGTGCTCACCATGACAATGAAAGCAGTTCCTCTGGGAGCCCATCTCCGGGCCCCTGACACACCACTCCTTCCGTCCTTCGCAGCCCTGAGGCGGGTCCTACACTCCCTCTCACAGACGCAGAGCTCGAGGTCACCGGCCATGATGCGGGCCCGGACCTGACACTGCACCTGTGCTCTTACCCGCTGCACACACTGCCTGCAGCCCACAGGCCTGGGTGCGACCCCGGCTCTGCCACCGGCTGTGGCCCCGGACAGATCGCATGTGGGCATCACAGCAGATTAGGGCCCTGGAAGGACAGCCGCTGGATACCACCGGGTTCTGAAGGAAACAGTATGAATTCTAAAAAGGGAGCACGCTAGCTGGGAGCCCACGGGCAGAGTACCTCAATCAGCCACTTGTTTTGTACGAACTTCTGCAGCACCTGCTCAGCTTCCTTCTTCCGCATCTTCTTGCCTTTAAGTTGATCAACCACATTCAAAATATTTGTGGAAGAGGCAAAGCCGGTTTCCGAGTCAATAATCAGCTCCAACTGGAAGAAACAGCAGGTATCACAGTCATCTATTAAGTTGGCAAACACAAGTTTTAAGCAGGGACACCAATCCTGGTGGGGGAGGGGGCTAGTAAAACTATCATATCTCCGGCAGAGCTGCACACGGGATGATCCTTCAGGAAAACAACCTCATCACATGCATCAAAGCCATAAACTGCCTGGCCAGGGGGCTCAGTGGGTTGAGCACTATCCTGTGCACCAAAGAGTGGCTGTTCAGTTCCCAGTCAGGGCACAGACCCAGGTTGTGAGTTCGATCTCCAGTGCTCTAGTTGGGGTTGTATGAGAGGCAACCGATTGATATTGCGCTCTCTCTCTCTCTCTCTCTCTCTCTCTCTCTCTCTCTCCTCCTTCCTTGTTCACTCCTTCTAACTCAACAGTCACTTTGTAACATTGTCCCAATAAATCCTCTCAACGCTCCCAAATCAAAGAGGGTCACCTCACCTCTCATGTCCCTACCTCCCCGAAGATGGAGAAGCTGAAAGATGGATGAGTGAGTACATGAGGCTGCACCCCTACAGCTCAAAGGTGCCAGGCCCTCGAGGCTGCCTGACTGGCAGGCCGGAGCCGGGCAGGGCAGAAAGCAGAGCCAGGGTGCGCTGGGAGAGCGCAAGCTTGGGAGCCGCAGGAGCACTGTGGACCCAGGCGGGGGAGGCTGACGGGCGAGCAGCCCGAAACAGGGCGGAACCGCTGGGGGGAGGCTTCCTGCACGCACAGGTACACAGGGTGTCTCAGAGCCTGGTTCTCAGCCTGGCTGCTGACTGTCCCCAGAGGAGGCTTAGAAAGGAATGAGTCTAGGACTCTGTCCTCAGGGACCTGGATAGACAGACCTGCTGTGAGGCCCAATGTCGGAATGATTTTTACCGACCCAGTTACCATAATGTGCGCCCAGGGCTGAGGACCGTCTTACCCAGCTACTCTGCCAGGTGAGTGAAATGGGGACTGAGTACCCAGCTCCGAAGCAGGGCATGCGGAGCGGCGCCGCTCCGTGTAAATGAGCCAAGGGTCTGGGTGAGGACGTCCTAGCAAGCTCCCCGGTGCTGCTGCTGCTGGCGGTCCCAAACCGCACGCCCGTGCCTGCAGTGAGGCTTGTGCGCCTCCATCACACGCCCGTGAGGCCGATGCTCGTCAGGGCTCAGGCCGGGCCAGCCCTCTCCCAGCCTCGGTGACCCCCCACGGTCACGGGGCAGCTGTAAGTTCGGGGTGAGCGCTCACTGACATTCCCCTGCGGAGGCTTTCTTGGGCAGCAATGGCGGTGGCCCCTGAAGATGCAGTTTCCATTTCTAATGATGAAGGCTTCCCATAAGAAGCTCGGCTGGTGGGAGTCCCCATTACTTACAGCCTTTCTAAACAAATCCAGTTCGTTCTCTGCAAAATCTGAGGCCATTTTGGAGATCGCAGTTGTTGCAAGATTCACCTAAAAACAAGTCAGCACGATGGTCAGGCTGTGCCTTCACTTGTCAGCTAAGGCACTTGCTGGTGCTCCCTCCCAGCCATGAGGACCTATGTCCAGGCCCTGTGGGCCACAACGATGGATTTGTAACCAGGCTGATATTACAGACATAAATCTTTAGCTCAGTCAACATGTTTAATTCTCAAAGATTTGAGAACTCCAGAAGTTGTACAATATTTTTCAAACTCAAGATACATCTGGAAGACTTGCCTGCATACTCCTGGAGCTTCACACGCACAAGCCCTGAGCACGGCCGCAGAGAGGTCTGACCCACCGTTTAAACTGCATTTCTGGTTATTTGACTCTACAACCCTTTCTTCCCTGGTACAGAGTTTGGGAAACGGTGCACTGGAGTCCCTGTCTATGTAGGCCTGACTGATAGGAGCCTGATCTTTGATTGGCCTAAGACAGTTCCCTAGCCAAAGAGGGGGGCTTGTCAGCTTCTCCCACCTCTCTTTCACTTTGTTCCCTAGCTAGGAGGGAAAATCTAAAAACAGGAGGCTCCAAATGGGCTCAATCCGTTGTGCCCCACACCTTTTCTTTCCACAGTTTCTAAGTCTTGTTCCAAATGAAGAGCATTTTATCCCTTTAATGCTAATAGTCCATACATTTGGGTGACTTCTTGCAGAACCCAGTCAACAAACAAAACAAAGTCAAATGCATCCCACTGGGGCAGTGAGGCGAGCACTGAGGGCAAGAGTCCGGGTGTAGGTTCTGGTCACCCCGCCCTGATAAGAGCAGGGAGTTCTATAGAGACCACAGGCCTGGGGGGCACAGAGCGGGCTGGGTCGGAGCTGGAGGGCTCAGCCATCTGTCTGGCTCCCTCCTGTCTCAGAGCCTTGTTGAGGCGGGTCACCCTGGTTCGTCCCCAGGAGGCACCGGGCAGCTGTCTCAGTCCCAGTTCCTCACAAATGCCACCAGAGGGCTCTGCCTGGCACTTACCAGCGCATAAATGGGTCTCCCGTCATCTTCGCTGACTCCTTTCTTTATCTCAATATACAAGGACTCCAAGACGCTGTTAATGTTGTGGATGAAGTCCTCCAACTTCTCCACAGGAGCGTTGCCTGGAAATAAACAGGCAAGGGGGAGGGGGTGTGCTTCATCAAACGTGTGTCAGCCTGAGCGGGAGAGCAAAGCCAGAAATGGGCCAAGGCCCAGCCTCTTCAGTGAATGTGGCTTCTCTCTTCCTGGTCTGTTCGGAGGGACAACAGGTCCTGGGAGGCAGAAAGGCCCAGGAACAGGTATCTGAACCTGCTGCGGTCTTTCTGTCTTTGCTCAGCCCCAGCCTGCTTTCCCACACAGCTCCCTGATGCCCAATACCGTCCCCACACGGCACCTTGCACACCCTTGTGTGCCCAGAACCTGTGCTGAGCACCTGCTACACGCAGCTCACAGCCCAGCTCCCACCTCGTCCCAGCTCCCTACGCGAAGCCTCTGTCCCTGAATAGCCTCACAAACGCGTGGGTGCGACAGTGTAGAACAGCAGCCGGGGTACAGACAGCAGCTCACACCGAGCATTCCCAGCAGATGCCCTGATCCAGTGTTCCGCACACAGTAATGCACTGACCTGCCCACAGCCCTCCGAGCCGGCACTGCCGTCCTCCCCCCAGATGCGGAGGGGGGGCGGATGCCCCAAGCATCACACCACCAGGCACGTGAAAGCAGCCAGCTGACTGCTCTCCCACCTCCACGTTGCCAACAGCCTAGAGACTACAAGAAGGCAGCTACTACTGGCAGGGTCCATCAGCCCATCAGAGGAGGGGATGGACAGAGCGCCAGGTGGGGCCACCCAACCCAGTACTGCAGGGGTCTGGGGTGAATAGAAAGCGGAGAGCCTGGGAGGGAAGAAGGTCCAGAAGGGCCGATGAGGCTGCAGTGGAAGCAGGAGCCAGATGGCACAGGGCCCTGCGGGCAGGGGGGCGTGTGACCTTCCTCCTGTGGGCAATGGGGAGCCTTTCCGAGTTGGAAGCAGGATGGTCAGGGTCACCTTTCCTCTTCGTACCACTTATACTATGACACATTTTAAAACCAAGAGTATGTATTACTCTTTTCACTTATTTCAATAATCAATTGAACTTCCAGTCAAGATGGCAGCTTAAACAGTACTCACCTCCTTCCTACAATCACATCAAAATTACAACTAAACGACAGAGCAACCATCATTCAGAACTGCCTGCAATCGGGCTGGTGGAACTTCTACAATTAGCGATTTAAAGAAGCAGCCACATTGAGACGAGCAGGAGGGGCAGAGGTGTGGAATGAGCTGGTCCCACACTCGCATGTGGTCGATAAAAATCGAGAGGGCTATCTCAGCTGTGGAGGTTCCCCCTCAGGAATGAGGGTCCCAGCCCCACACCAGGCCCCCCAGCCTAGGATTCCAGTGCCAGGAAGATAAGTCCCCAAAACTTCTGGCTATAAAACCAGCAAGGATTGTGGCTGAGTGAGACACAGGGCTGCTGGAGTCCCAGGCAGTTCCTCTTAAAAGGGCACAGACTTACCCAGACTCACTCGCTCTGAGCTCCAGCTCTGGGGCAGCAGCTTGAAAGGCACCAGAGACATATGGGAGGAACTGAATTGTCCAGCATCAGGGCGAGAGCTGGAGGGGCAGCTTTCTCCCAGACAGAAGTGCTGGCAGAGGCCATTGTTCCTTTGATGAGCCCTCCCCTCCCAGAGACAGCAGGCTGTGCCATATCTGAGATTCCCTGAGGCCCCGCCCCACCCAACTTTGGGGCCCACCCACGCTGTTTCCCAGTGGCTTTTCCATATGAATGGCCTCTCTTGGCTCATGCTTCAGATTTTCCTAAAATCTCAAATAAGCAGCATTTGGCCTCAGCAAGCCCCATACCTCTTACTAAGTGGCCCAGGCCCAGCCCTAACAGCAGTCAGCCTTGACTCACAGTTTGGCCTTCCCAGGGCACCTTCAAGCCCCGCACAAGTAGCAGCCATCTGCAGATTGCTTTATAGCTCAGGCCAGTGGCCCAGGGCAGAACACAGGCAGTGGCTGACCTTAGCCTGCACATCCCAGGAGGCCCCAGAGCCAGCGCACCCAGTGGACAGTTTCAGATCACATCAAAGCACCACCACCCAACCACCTTCACAAGCAACAGTTAAGGGGCAGACTCAGTGGGCACCAGAGGCCTGCTGAAGTAAGTCCTGGTCTGTGGGGTGGACACCTGCACAGCTAATCCTTCACGGTGGTCAGAAGTCAGTGGTCTGTGGTCGCAGCCAGTCCTTGCAGCTGATTGGCCCAGGGGTAAATCCTTCCCATTGATGTACCAACAGCAATCAAGGCTCAACTACAAGAGGAGGGTGTATACAGTCCCCACAGGAGGTGCACCTCGAGTGCCCAGCTTGGGTGGGTGATCAGAAAGGCTGGGGCACCGGACCCTTCAGGACACCTACTACATCACACCACTCTCTCAGGCCTGGGAGACGTGGCAGCTCTAATGCATAGAAGCAAACAGAGGGAGGCTGCCAAAAGGAGGAGACAAAGAAACATGTCCCAAATGAAAGAACAGAATAAAATTCCATAGAAAGAACTAAACAAAATGGAGACAAACAGTCCACTAGGTTAAACACTGGTTATAAAGATGCTCCGTGAACTAGTGAGAACCTTAACAACACAAAAAGGACCAGTCAAAAATGAAGGATACACTAACTGAAATGAAGAATAATTTACAGAGAAGCAACAGTAGAGAAGATGGAGCTGAGAATCAAACCTGCAATTTGGAGTAAAAGGAAGCAAAAAACACCCAATCAGAACAGCAAAAAGAAAAAGAATTTTAAAACAGAGGACAGTGTAAGGGGCACCTGGAACAGCTTCAAGCATACCAACATTTGCATCATGAGGGTGCAAGAAGGAGAAGAGAGAGGGCAAGAAATTGAAAACCTATCTGAAAAAATAATGACAGAAAACTGCCTTAACTTGGTGAAGAAAATAGACACACAAGTCCAGGAATCGCAGAGTCCCAAACAAGATGAACCCAAAGAGGCCCACACCAAGACACATCACAAATGAATTTAAAAGTTTAAAGACAAAGAGATTCTTAGAAGCAGCAAGAGAAAAGCAGTTAGTTACCTACAAGGAAGTTCCCAGAAGATTGTCAGCTGGTTTCTCAAAAGAAACTATGCAGGCCAGAAGGGAGTGGCAAGAAATACAGCGGAACCTCGGTTCTCAAACTTAATTCATTCCAGAAGGCTGTTCTAGAAGTGATTTGTTTGAAACCAAATCATTTTTTCCCATTAGAAATAATGTAAATTGAATTAATCCATTCCAGACCCCCAAATGATTCCCCGTTTTAACCTTTCTCAATTGCGGGTGATCATTGTTTCGTGAGCACTTTCACACCATTAGCAACATCAGCACTCTTGATAGCCTCTTTATGTTTTAAAATTGTGCTGAGAGTCGATTTTGCCATGCCATCCTTGATAGCCAGATCAAACACACACAAACACCTCTATCATACTTTGCAATTATGTTTTCCTTTTTTAAAAAAAATCCTCACCCAGGGATATTTTTCCCATTGATTTTTAGAGAGAGTGGAAAGGAGGGAGGGAGGGGAAGAGAAAGAGAGAGAGAGACAAATCAATCAGTTGCTTCCTGCATGCACCCCGGAGGTCATGGATTGAACCTGCAACCCAGTACATGCCTTTGACTTGGAATCAAACCTGCGACTCCTTGGTGCACAGGCCAGTGCTCTAACCACTGGGGACACCAGCCAGAGTGCAAATTTTTCTTTTTAAGCTCTATCACTGTTCTCTCAACTTTCCTTTTCACTTTGCTGCTACCACTAACCTCTTTAGGACCCATGGCGAGTTACTGTAGGTATTTAATAACAACAATAAGCAGCAACAAAAAGCAAAAGAACATGAAAATAATCACAGAACAATTTCCTGAGATGTTAATAATGTGAGGTTTAGCAATAAACTGACTTATACTCATGCATTCTCTCCCTTGTTGCCTGAGACACGTGACTGATCACATAGCTTTCAGCAGTAAAGGGTCATCGGGTTGAGAACTGAAGATTTGTTGGACAACAGACATTTTTTCCATAAACAAGTTGGTTGAGAACTGAATTGTTCAAGATGGGAGATGTTTGAGAACTGAGGTTTATATTCAAAGTGATGAAAAGCAAGGACCAACAACCAAGATTTCTCTACCCAGCAAAGCTATCATTTAGAATCAAAGGGCAGATGTAGAGCTTCCCCAAACAAGAAAAAACTACAGGAGTTCACCACCACCAAACTAGTATTATATGAGTCTTCTTTAGGAAGAAGAAAAAAAAGATAAAAAATATGAATAATAAAATGGCAATAAATACACATCTATCAACAATTGAATCTAAAAAACAAAACAAACAAGCAGAACAGAAAAAGACTTACAGATACAGAAAATGTTTTGACAGTTGCCAGATGGGAGGGGAGTTGGGGGATGAGTGAAAAAGGTGAAGGGATTAAGAAGTACAAATTGACTGTTACAGAATAGTCATGGGGATATACAGTGCAGCCTAAGGAACATAGTCAATATTCTATTAACTATGTACGGTATCAGATGGGCGTGAGATTTCTGGGGATGATCACTTAACAAGTGATATAATGTCTAATCACTGGGGTGTACACCTGAAACTAGTATAATAATGTATGTCCACTGTAATTGGAAATAAAAAAAATGATAAAAAATTTTTAAATAATTGATTTCAAAAGATTTGTGCCTTAAAAATCACTCTGAGAAGGAAAAACCAGCCGAAAACACATTTGTGGTGCCATTTATGTTAAAAACAAGGAACCATTACTGCAGGAAAAAGGCCTGGCAGGTTACCCACCAAGGTGATGACCACGGGGGTCATCCCAGGGCATTTAAACGCTCTCTGTATTTGACTACCGACAGAGAAAGGTATTGGTAAGCTCCCTGTGTACATAAATATCACTAAAGAAAAGATCGCGCTGGTGGCTGGGGAAGGCACAGCCATGTGGGCCACGTAAAGGAGACAGACAAGAATCTTGACAGTAGAATGACAATGAAATTTAGCCACAGCTGCTGAAAACTGGTGATCAGAGGGGTGAG